ATAAAAATATATACATATATCATTTTTAAATTTATATTTATTTATTTATAAAAAAATAACATACTTTAAATTATTTATAAATTATTTATATTTAATTAGAAGGAGATTTTGCAGCTAGATTTTTGTGTGTCTTGTTTGTAAATAATCAATTAATAATTGTTTAATTGTATTCCATAACTGTAATATAAACTAAACAATTAGAAAATACTTGTCTGCTTTATTTCATAAATTAATATTTTTGAATTTTGTACCAGCCGATGTTTATATACATAGTACATAATAAAAGTATATATTTCTGTTAAACGAAGTCTTAAATCTACAAATTTTTATTTTACTTTGTTAATACAAATGCTTATTATATTCATACTGTCAAAAAAATATGGTTTTTGCGGTCTTCAATTCAGTTCCAGTCGAAGTTCCTGTTAGTAGTTGCGGTGTGTACTACCATAGTAGATACTTTTTTGTCTACTATACAATTTTCCTGTCTAATATTGCTAATCATAAATTGATACTACTAGTTAATATTTTTATTATACATTGCAATTGCATTATATATGCACTTATTTATTTATATTAACGGACCTATTCTGTGCACTTGACAGATTTGTCAAATTCTTTAATAAAATTTTTGATTTTTATAAAGCAGAAAGCTTTTTGGTATTCTGGACACATCTTGACAAATTTCAAAGCTCGAGTACCTAATGATTCTCCCCACACTATAGTGTAAAGTGTTTTGTATAGAAAACTGTTCGTATTTGTTCGTAACTGTTCGTAAAAAATGCTTGTATAGAGCACATATTTTAAGTTGCCAAAAGCATTTTTCATGCATTCAAATAACAATAAAAAATATGCTTGTAAAGAGCATATATTTTAGTTAACAATATTTGTCATGCATGCAAAAATTAAAAAATGCTTAAAAAGAGCATATTTTTATAGTTGTCAACAGCATTTGTAGTATTGACAACTAACAAGGAAAATAGCTTTTTATTTATGTTACAGAATACCAAAACCTTTACAGCAGTCAATTTTGACAAGTGTCAATTTTTGACAAGTTTATAAAGTGCACAGAATAGGTCCGTAAATATATATTACAAACCCTGCTAGGAGAGAATCTGCTGATTTCTGCAGACGGAATAGTTTGCAAATATCATTAAACAATTGAGATGATTTTCAAAACAGACAAAAAGTTTGACGATGGAATTGTTAATTGTGGACTGATCAATGATATAGTATAATCTGATTTTAATTATCTATTTTCAGTTAAAAATGTATCTTGCCTTTAAAAATATAAGTAATTTATTATATGTGCTCAAGTGTAAATCTATGTTTTATACAAAGCTTAGCGCACTTTGTATCATTCAAAACAAAAAAAAAATATTTTCTCGTAAATGTATAACTTACACATTTCTGATAATATTAAATAGAAATTAATTATTTATTAAATATAAAATTAATATTAATTTAATAAATACATAGCTAATTTTTACTAATGTTATATGTTTTTTAAACCTCAGTAAATAATATCGTCTTTAATATGTTTTCGATTTTCAATACACTGAATATAGGGTTCATTGTGTACAATTATTTGGTTAAATACCATAAAATATTGATCTCAGGAGTCGAATATGACAACGAACTTTTTTCATTCTCGGAAAGTGTAAAAATTCGATTATTAGCGGTTTATAAAATAGGATGTGTTGCTTCCTGCTATTTTTTCTTCAAAATGTATTAAAATTCTGATATTTATTATTGAACAATATTGCTTTGACTAAGTGCCGAGGCACAAATAGCCCGGTACTCACGACGAAATTTGAACCGAAATATCTCACTCTCAATTTTATAATTTGTATTGAAATCAACAATAATTTTACTTATGCCCTGCCATAGACACTCTACAGATCATAGTCCTAAGGGGGTCATGTGAAGTAATAATCATTACAATATATTTTAATTTAGAATCTTAAAGATTTGCATTAGTTTCTCAAGTTTCTCAAGTTTATCTAAAATGAAGATTAATCCTTAAGTTATTATATTGTACTTGACACATATACTCGTCAACATATTGTTACTAACGGAAACATATTTAGTTAACAAGAAAATTAGTTGAATTTATTACTAATTTATACGTACTAGAATTATATTAGAAATCATGAACACTAGTTTTTGTATATGTTAATATAGCTAATCGAAAGGCGGACCTGCTGACATGAAATTTTTATACAAATATTAAATTATTTTATGAAAATGTATTTCTTTCATTATTGTTAAAATTAAAATTTATGCAATTAATTATTAAAAATTGTTTTTCAATTAATTGTTAGTACTTTATTTTACATTTTATTTTTCATATCAGTTACGTTGTTAATAAATAATTTATAGTACGTGTAAACTGTGATTTGCAATGAAAATTATGCATATGATTTCCAATATAATTGCCCTCCGTGATCATTTATAAAGCCTAAGGCAGTACTGGGAAGCAATTAAAATATAATAACCTTTTACTAAATTTTCATATAATGTTTAACTATTATCATTAAAGTACTTAGAACCTATAAGTAAAAGAAAAAATATGATCATTAATTTACCATTATTAACTTTGACTTTTTTGAAAAGCAATTTTTTCTTTACTAACACCTGTGTTTTTATTCATTTTATATGCATAAATAAATAAAAGCATTATAATTAAAATTAGTATAAACGATTTTATACTTTAATTTTTATACAGTTATTGCATTGATTTTTATGGTGCCTAAGTTTTTATGATTATAACTGTTATTATGTTTACTGTACAGTAAACTCCTGTTGCGTTACAGGAAATACTTTGAAATGCTTTCAAAAATTATGTAACTTTCAGGGAAGTTATTTTGATAATATCATAAAATGTTTAATAAAGAATTTTATTTCCTTCTTGCCACAGCATTAAATGATTAAAAAATTATGAAATCGCTTAACGCATACAAAATTCAGAATTAACAATTCAATTAAAAGAACTCCTTAAAGAGAATCGCTTCTTCTTAAATATTAATTCTTGTCACCAAATTGGAATTAATTATTCGAAACACGTAAATCCAGTCAGCCAATATCAACAAAATATGAACACTAAAGCCAAACCACACAGTCAATGTATAAAATTTATTTTGAAAGAAATTCTAGGAAGAGATTTCTGTGCTCATCTATGCCACATTCACATTTCTTGGTTCTTATCGTGATTAAAATTAATAAGAATTTGTTTGTTGTCCAACAGATATAAACTGTTTGAGGCGCAACAAATCAGTTGTAAGTATGAATACTTACAAGTAGTAAACAAGAGATTTTCTTGACACATACAAAATGCAGATATGAATAATTCTGATATGGGTGCAGTCCGGACCTTGTGTGTTCGGATGAATGCATAAATTATGTATTAGAAGTCTTCTTTTAATTGTTTTATAAAGGGTTGCGTATATGCGATTTCAGTTTAAATTTATTTGAAATAAAAATAAATAAAATTTCTTTTAGCATTCACAGATTATTGCATTCATGCCCTATGACAACAACAAATCTTTTAAGTTAAAAATTTGTTTAAAAAAATTAAAATTATGTTTTTTACTTCCCCATTCGATTCTAAGTGAAGTGATAGTTAGTTGTAGTGGTAGATAGGTAAAGTAGATCAGATCCAAAAATTCCATAATTAGTTAGATAATAGTTATATCTTGCTCAATTTTTGAAAATTTTTTGGTTTTTTAAATCATTTAAATATATTTAAGAATGCAGGTATTTGGTTGATTTTGAATGTTGAAGATGATGTGGAGTGTGTAAAATAATAGCACGTTCATACATGACTAAGTCTGGACAGTAATGCAACAACTGCTATTGTTGTTTTTTTCGAAAGCTACAGAATATGAACTTTAAATCATGAATTTTTACACCAACTACCAGTACCATGGCATTAACAGAAACGCAAAGTTTAAATTGAAAGAAAATATAAAGAAAAAATGAGTTAAGCTAGAATCAAAATACGAAAAATTATATTGGCTTCTTGGGAAAAATTTACCCGTCTCTCAAAGCAACAAATTAATGATATATAAGTACGTCTTAGCTTCGGTGAGGACGTAAGGCTTGTAGTTATGGGATGTTATGGAGATGTTTAAAATAAAATTTTAAGAAATTTTTTGTAGTTTATTACGAATACAACATCACCCTAACGAGACAGCCCTGTGTAATACTTTTGGCCAGCTGAAGAGACTTAAACGAATTAAGACTACAGATTTACTCTCGAATTAGTAGTCCAATAGTAATTTAGATTATTACTAGTGCTAATATGCTAATGTAGCACTAAGTCTTTGACAAATTGACCATTTTAAAACATATTCTGAAATATAACATAACTGGTTGATAGTTCTCTACACTTAAACTAGTCGTAGACAAATAAAACATTATTTATATTAGTGTACATATTGTGTTTCAAATAATAAAAAAAATTTGTTTCTGCATACACTCTGTTATTATGAATCATCTCAAGGGACATAAAGCGTGTAGAAGAACGAATGAAAATAATAACTGATCATCTATAATAAATGTATTAGAATATTGGCATATAATTAATATTTTAAGAAGTCGTATATAAAGAATTTTCTTATTAAAGCATTGCAGTGGGATTTAATGAATAATCTTTATGTGGTCTTCCAAGTAAATCACACTAATGTGGTTAAAATGAAAAAAGGCGAACTATTAAAAATGATTACTATTTATATGAATATTGTCTAAAAAAAAGTATTATTTAAAATAGTTAAAATCCATATCTGTAAGAGTGAGCTGATGAAAAATGGTGAATGTTAAGTTCATAGTTCTTGTTGTGGTTACTACTCGTATATTTGTATTACGTCTCATAAATTATTAACTGAAACTCTATACATGGTCTCTTACTTTGACATCGAATTTTTAATTTCTCATTTAAGAAATAAAAGTTCAAAAAACATTTAAAAATATAACAAGATTAAAAATTTTATTGCTGTACTTACATCCTCACATGATGTTCGACATGAGCCATAAACTTCATTGCAACATGCAAAAATATCTGTAAGTAAAAATACAAAGAAAAAAATTAGCTTTTTACAATAAAAAAGTTTATTTAAGTAAAATTAATCAGAAGCAAAGTTTCTTGAAAAATATCGGTTGTATGCTTGCATTATCTTTCAGATTCGGACGTCCTTATAATTTATAATCACAGACACAAGTTCAGCTTTCATTCGCATGCACTCTATATTTGTTCATTAAATTCACGTTTCTCATACGCACTTGTTGTGTGTCAAATTTAATCCCTCCTGCTCCAAACAAGCCAAAGCCAACAACTTACACATTTTCACTTGTACGAGTAACTCGCAACGCAAGACGTAAGCCTCTACGTACGAGTATTTCACTTCGAAATTGTTTTGCATACATTTCTCCTATGTGATTAATGTCCGACATTTTTCTGAACTTTATTTCTTGCTGTTTGTTTTGATTAAGTATCTTGACTTCGTGTATTCCGCAAGTGTTTTATGGGAGCGAAAGGCAAGTGATACTCACGCGGCGCGAGACACAAATGACGCAACTGTTACGGGCGAATTTTGTGGCAGTGCCCGTTAAATTCCAAGAGGAAATACAAATTTAAGTTGTCCCCTCTTATTGTTGTCACTGTGAGATAAAATTTAATGCAGCCAAAGATACTTTCTGTCACAGAACTAAATTAGAATGAACAAACAACTTAAGATTTTACAATAACAGCATTGCCATCATTTAACACTGAGCAGTATGTTGATTAAGTAATTTAGAACATTTCAAGAATTAAATAAGTTAAAATATTTCTAAGTTTAGTACAGATAAATTAAGGAATTATGAATAAATAATTACGGCATTTTAATAGTTAAGGTTTAAATAATAATTTTTTACAATATTTTTTAACGAAGAGTTTTCAGATAGAGACTATTTGCAATGAAATTACCAGCTCAAAAAGTACCCGGATTTTGAAAATAAAACAAAAATTTAAATTTTATTCCAAATTTATTTTACATCCTTCTGAAGCGATACACATATGCCAACGCTTAAACCAATCTTCCATACACTTTTCGTATGCCCGTGCAGGTATGGCTTTTAGTTTCTTCGGCGAATTCTCTTTTACCGATTCAAACGACTCAAAACGCTTACCACGAAGAGACAATTTGAGTTTCGGGAACAGGAAAAAGTCGCATGGATCCAGATCTGGCGAATATGGTGCCTCATCGGATACAGTGGTGTCGTGTTTGGTTAAAAAATCGCGTACAACAAGAATTTTTCATAGTAAAAATCGCTAAGTGCACTTGCGGTAGTCTCACATTAACAGCTGCTGTAAACAAACTAATTGACAGATGGCGCTCAAATTTGTACTATATGTTAAGAAAACATAACAAAAAATAAATTTTTAAAAAAGGTCTATAACTTAAGGAGTAGTTAACAAACAACACAATCCGGATACTTTTTGGGCAGAAGGTATTTTAAGTAAGCATAATTCATAATCAAGTATAGGCCTTTTCTTTTGTAAGCATATCACAAAAGAACAACTGCTTATTTTAAAAATAACATATGAAACAACAACACTGTTGGCTTATTTAGTCCAACCTTTTTGAAATTGCTTAACTAATAAGCAGTTCAAATCATATGGTTGCCATGACTAAAAATTCGTCTATTGTGAAGGATTTTTGGAAGTACGTACGAAACTTCCAGTTAATTATCAACGAATGATTTAGTTAATTATTCGTATTTCGTGTCGTCATTGTTCCTAACAAATACGTTATTTTTTTTATTTATTGTTTTACTGTTAAAAGGTACGAAAAATTATATCTTATTCAGAATCATGTAAAAAAAGAATTATCGAAATTTCAACATTAAATTTTATTACGTGTTTTGCACATATAACCGGAGTTGTCATCAAAAGTAGTGCTTATTATATTTGGCCTTATATTGTTAAATTTGCTGATATTCGAATAGTATATATATTAAGGGATAAAAAAATTATCCATCGTTTTTTGCACCAAAAAAGTCGATTTAATTTTATAATTAGGGCGGCAAGACCGACACGAAAGCTGTCTGAAGATAGCGAAGACACTAGACATCAACAACAAGACAGTTGAGAACCATTAAAAAAGAGCAAGCTACGCAAAGATACTCTATATATGGGTACCATATGAATTAACGCCAAGAAATTTGATTCATAGAATTACCATCACTGAAACGCTACTATAACGAAACGAAATCGAAGCATTTTTGGAGTGAATCATCACCGGCAATGAAAAATATATTAGATACGATGATATCCAATGCAAGTCAAATGCCGAAGAACCTCACCAAACGACTTTAAAGCCCGGATTAACGCAAACGACGCTATGTTATGTGTTCAGTGTTACAGTAAGGGACTTTTCAATTACGAACTGCTGCAGGCTGGTGCAGGCTGCGCAACTGGTGCAATTTCGGTCCTTCACTGCTGATAACATGACTGCTTGAACGAAACAATCAAGGAAAAGCGATCAGAATCAGTCAACAGAGTTGTAGGCTGGTTCAACGCTTAATTTGGTCATTTACTGTTGACAAGACGATCGCTTGGACGAAACAATCAAGGATAAGCGATCAGAATCGACTAACAGAGTTAAGTTCCATCAGTACAATGCTAGGACACATACATATTTGATAACTCGAAAAAAAGTGATGGAAGTTAGTTGGAAAGTTTTGATACATCTAATGTATGGCTTGGATCTAATAGCATTTGACTACTAATTCTTTTGGAAAAAATTGAAAAAAAAAAATGAAAAAATTGACCGACTGAGAACTCGCTAAAAAACTATATAATTATATATTAAAATATATATAATTTTGTTTGTATGATTTAAATTATGAATTTTATAGTTATTACTGGTTATAGTAATTATTTTTTATTCTTAAATATTGCGTACTTCATTATTAATCATATACTTAGTTTTATTTAATAATATTTTGCAATAAGTTCTCATTGTCTGTTCTTTTATTACATTGAACTGCATTCACTGCATTTTAAGTATTTAAATATTTTCCATCGTTTGTGTTTGGAATTGCAAAATAGTGCAACAAAGTTTAAAAAAAGTTTGAAAAAATTAAACTTGCAGTCTTGTTTGTTGATTTTGTTATTGAATAAATATTTTCAATAATGAGTTTGGCTTTGACGAATGCATATTTAATACACAAACTTGCATATTGCATTTTTGAATAATTTCAAATATAATTTGAAGATATAAACAAGTTATATAGTGCATATATATTATCGACTTTATTTTATAGTTATGTATATTCTAATTGATTGATGGGTAAATCAACTCAAATTTTTGATGAAAATGCCCATTATTTTTCTGGTGATTAATTTTTTGCTCTTAGTGCATATAAAAGACACTGTTTATTTATTTAGTTAAATAAGATCTTTGGTTTACTTATTTTACTTTTAAATAGCAGTCTCATTGATATAATTAGCCATTTTAAGTCTTCTTTAATTTTAAAGATTTATGCATTTAATCTCTCCAAATGAGACTTAAAATCTTTGGAACTTTTGGACTTTGAAATTCATTGTGCCAATATTTAAGATATCTATCTAATATAGAGACAATGACCAAAATACCATTACAGTAATCAAGGTCTCATGGAATAATTACAAATGTTTAATATTTAGAGAGCTTAATTAATTTTAATTAGAAAAATCTAAGAAAGCAAGTAATTGAAAGAAATAAAAAAATTGCTTAAAATTACGTTAAACTCGGTGAACTATAGACCGGTGGAATCAGTGAGGGATTAGTTGGGATCTCATTGAAGTTGAAAACAAGAAATTACATGGGCCTTATGAAGTAAATCAGAAGCTAGTAGGTTAATCTGAATTCAAATCTGATGCTCTAATGTCTTGTTGGAGTTAATTTGAAAGAATTTTATGCGATGAAGTTAAAATGGTGTGAAATAGTCATATTGTTTTTCGAAATTATTTAACAAATTTTTTTTTTTTTAATAAGTAATATATGGAATAACATCATATCGTTACATCTAGCATTCACATAAAAAATCTAAAATAACTGATGTTACATTTTCGTTAATGATAGCTTAAGGCTTGACTTTCGTTGGATTCTCTATCTAGCACTTTAGTAATGTCTTGAGTAACTACAAAGTATAACCTTTTTAAAATTCTTTTATATTTGTAGAAGATTAAGATTTTTTTGTTTTATTTTATAGCTGTTTAACTGTTTTAAGTTTTAACTTTTTTAATATCCCAAAGTGGTTCCTTATAGTTTTTCATAATAATCCAAATAGTAGTTTTCAAAAGATTGTTTATAAAATTACCTATGTTGACTATATGCCATATATAGTATATATATATATATTTGACTTAATTTCAAAAGTTTTAATAAGTTAAATGCTTTTAATTTTCATTTGCAATAATTTTCTCTTGGTTTTCCAGAAAATATCTTATAAACTCAAAAGTAGTTTTCATTAAAGTCATACGACAATCTCAATTACTTTATTCTTCTCTATTTTAAAGCTTATTATTTTAATGTTTCACTTTTGTTTAAAGTGATAACCTCATTAATGCTGGTGTGTGTTTTGAATATTTATTTACTTTTGACTAGGATTTCAATTTCAATGTATTTTTATTTTTTTTGACTCTTAGTTAGTAATTTTAATCGGCAAACCATAACGCATTCAATGTGTAATTAAAATTTTAAAAGCAAAATAAATTTATTTCTAATGCTTTCAGTCTGGATACGTCAATAAATATAATAAAATAATAATCGATTTCTTTGAATTTTAACTTAATTAGGAATTCAAAACACTATTAAATCATCAAAACACAAATGCCGCCATTGCGACAACTCGTCTATATTTTTACCGACACTTCGTCCATTTTCTGATTAATAAAAAACAATTTTCTTAAATGTCTTACGGAAATGAAGCAACAAATATTTTTTTTAATATAACAGAAAAATAAAATGAAATCTATTTTTTAATATTTTGAACTATCACAAGTTGAGAGATTTTATTTGTATATAAGTGTCT